GAGGAGGAGTCAGAGGAGGAGGAGGAGGAGGAGGAGGAGGAGGAGGAGGAGGAGAAGGAGGAGGAGGAGGAGGAGGAGGAGGAGGAAGGAGGGTGAGTAGGAGGAGGAGTAGGAGGAGGAGGAGGAGGAGGAGGAGGAGGAGGAGGAGCAGGAGGAGCGAATTTCAGGGCGCTTCGGCCAAGGGCCCAGGCACAACGGAAGGGAGGGACGAGTAAGGAGGAGGGGAGGGTCGGTCCCGACGCCGAAAAGCCCCTCAGGACGACCCTCTACTCGCCTGGGCGTCGTTTCTGGACGGGCTGGTGGGGATACGCGAAGCGTCTAGAATTTTGTCTATCTACTGGACTATTGGATGGCGTAATAATCGATGAGGGGTGATTGACCTTCCGACGAAGCTTCCCCGATCCTGACTCTTCCTCCACCTCCCCCTGCACCCCCTCCCCACCTACCCTCTACCGGCGTCTACCTCTCTGGCATTTCTCCTACCAGATAGTCGGCGCAGACCTCCTCCTCCTCCTCCTCCTCCTCCTGCTCCTCCACCTGCCCCTCCTCCTCCTCCTCCTCCTCCTCCTCCTCCTCCTCCTCCTCCTCCTACTCCTCCTACTCCCCCTCCTTCCGCCTCCTCCTCCTCCTCCTCCTCCTCCTCCTCCTCCTCCCTCTGACTCCTTCTCTCTGACTGTCAACTCTGACTTCCTCCCTCCTCTCCTCCTCTCCTCTCCTCTCCTCCTCCTCCTCCTCCTCTTCCTCCTCCTCATTCCTCCTCCCCCTTTTTCCACTCCCCTCCTCAGATCCTCCTCCCCTCGTCCTCCTGCTCCCCCTCCCCCTCCCCCCTCTCCTTTCCTCCCTCCTCCTCCTCCTTTCTCCTCCTTCCTCCTCCTCCTACCTCCTCCTCCTCCTCCTCCTCCTCCTCTCCTCCTCCTCCTCTCCTCCTCCTCCCCTTCTCTCCTCCTCCCTCCTCCTCCTCATCCTCATCCTCCTCCTCCTCCTCCTTCTCCTCCTTCATCCTCCTCCTCCTCCTGCTCCTCCTCCTCCTCCTCCTCCTCCTTTTCTTCCTCGTCGTCCTCCTCCTCCTCCTCCTCCTGGACGGGAGGGGCGCTGGGTGCTGGGCTCCAGCGCCGACCGCCGACCCAGGACAGCTGTGCAGCCCCCGAAGGCTTCCCAAACCAGTACGGAGTCACAACAGCAGGGGCGGCTGTGTTTCGCCGAAGGCGTCTCCTCTATTCTTCGACTGTCGACACCTGTAACTTAGTAACTGCAATCTGTAATCCCACCAGCCCTCTGGGCGTCGGTGGTTTAGGGTGTTTCCTCTTCCACCCCTCCCTCTTCCCCTTCGGGGAGGGGTTTACCCCTCCCCCTACCCCCTCCCCACTGACCTGGACGGGGGGGGCCGCGAGCGGTCAGAGCGTCCAAAACGGCCTCGGCGAGGAAGCCAACATCATTGATTTTACTATGGTTTGGGTCCCATTTTGGCCTCCTGAGGGGGCAGCGCTAATTAAAGCTCCCCTCTTCTTTGATCTATTTCCTCCACGATGGCCGCAAGAGGCCACCAGGATGCCCCAAGAGGCCGCAGGATGGCCCCAAGATGGCCCCAAGAGGCCCCCCAAGAGGCCCCCAGGAGGCCCCCAAGAGACCCCCCAGAGGCCCCAAGAGACCCCCCAGAGGCACCCAAGGTGCTCCCAGAGGCCTCGGCGATAATGTCAAACCATTGTTTGCACTAAGGTTTTAGCCACATGTTGGCCTCTTGGGGGGGGCACTGATTAAGATGACTCCAAGAGTCCAAGAGCGCCTCGGAGAGCCCAACATGACCTCCAAGAGGGCTCAAGAAATCCCAAGATGTCTCATACTGGCTTCCTCTGTGTGCTGTCCACTTCCCTGATCGAGGCAATCCCACGAGCCCTCTGGGCGTCGGTGGTTTAAGGCGTTTCCTCTTCCACCCCTCCCTTTTTCCCTTCGGGGAGGGGTTTACCCCTCCCCCTACCCCCTCCCCGTGGACCTGGACGGGGGGGGGGCGCGAGCGGTCAGAGCGGCCCACAGAGCCCCCCCCGAGACACCCAACTCCAGACCTCATCTCGTTGATGAGGTCTGAGTCGCTTGGGAACAGACCCTCACCTTCTTCTCACCCCCCCTTCCCTCCCGCTCATGCCTTCCCTTTGGTCTTGCTTTCGTTGTTTCAAGCCGAGCAAGGAGCGCTCGCAGGACAGTCTCAGATAAACGCTGGGCCAAGGCTGAGCTGCTGGTCTCGTCATGGTCCTCTTCCTCATTATTCCTCCTTCTCTCCTCCTCCTTCCTCCTTCCTCCTTCCTCCTTCCTCCTCTCCTTCTAGCGAGCAGCAGCTCGCCAACTGCAGCAGCACGCGAGCTACACGCTCGCGACTCGAGACTGGCTATGGCCTGTCGCCATGTCCATCGCAGAAGGCCTTAGCCTTTGCTTTGGCCTTGGGCTTCGCAGCCCATCGCGCCCTTCCGAGGTTTAAATGGCGGTTGACCAATGTCTTCGCCTCCTCGTTCGTGGCGCCAGCAGGCGTTTCTGGAACGTCGAACAGCCACTTGCATATATCCAGGTCCGTGCCGCACGAGTGCTCTGTCACGAGCAACGAGCACTTGCCACGATGCCTGTAGCAGTGTATGTAAATCGAGCCAGGCGCTGGCTTACCTCTCTCAATGCGCAGCTGGCGCCTGCCACCGATGTAAAAATAACCCATCGGCGAAATCTCCGAAAGGGCTTCCCATGGCGCTGGCGGAGCTGCAACGGCGTCGGGAACGGCGTCGGGAATGACGTCGGGAAGTGCCTCGGGAAGTGCCTCGGGAATGGCGTCGGGAATGGCAGGCTCGGGCTCCTCCGCAGGAGCGGCTGCAGCACCTACATCATGGTCGGCGGCGCCAACAGCGTCGGCGACGAACGCAACTGCTTCACCGTGAAGGTCAGCTGCGTCTTCACGCGGCTCCTCAGGCGGTTCCAGTGCAGGGCGATCCCTAGGGTCTACGGCTGGCTCTGGAAGCTCGGACTCAACGAGAGCTGGTGGTATTTTCTCGTCGTACGCTGCCTCCATCTCCTCCACGGACTGGATCGAGGATGCACAATCGGTGTCGGCAAGGTCGATGTCGTGCTCCCCTGCCGGCTCCTCGGCGGGGTCGGCATCCAGCAACGCAGGATGGCCTTCATCAACAAGAGCTGCTGCTGCAGCTACTCGCCCACGACCGCGTCCTCCAGGAGCGCGACCCCGCCCTCGGCCTGTGCCACGGCCACGACTCCTCCCGCGACCTCTATCTAAAACTTGACTTGCTCGTTCTACAGCTGCGTCGCCGAAAGGATCATCTTCTCGAATAGTAGGCTCACGCGTCCTGGCGGCCTTCGCTCTGGAAGACTTCAGTGGCTCTTTCATCCCATCATGCCATACGCGACCTATGTGTGTGACCGCTGTAATCACAGACCTGCGGAGGCTACCATCTTCGAAGTCAATGGTATACGTAGCCTCGTACAAATCGACCCGACCTAGCTGTTCGATTATGCCCCAGATCCACTCGTCTGAGGTCATGGAGTCAAGTGCCTGATATTGGCCACTGACTCTATTCGCGCGAGCGTCGATGCTCACGATGGCTGGTAGAACGAGCGCCTAAGGTTCAGAATAAGGGAGAGCCTCAGACTCGCCCTGGGCCCGTGCTAACTCCTGTGGCTTAGGACTTAGGATCCCTAAGGTCCCAGTGGCCAGTTGGTTGCAAAAAAACCTCCTCCTCCTCCTCCTCCTCCTCTTCTTCCTCCTCCCGTCTCCCAGTTCCCCTCCTCTCTCCCTCCTCCTCTCCTCCTCCTCCTCCTCCTCCTCCTCCTCCTCCTCCTCCTCCTCCCAGCGTTTCCAGGTCTCGGGCCCAGGGCGAGACGCCTCCGCCTCATTCCGAACCCGACCAAGCCTCGCTAGTGGCGAGGTCCTCCTGCACGAAGCTGTTCGCGACCACGTCGAAGACGCGCGGGTTGTAGGTGACGTCGCTGACGATGGCGACCTTGCGCTGGAATCCACCACCATCTGCCAGCGGTCCCTCGGCAACCAGCATGATGTCGGACGCATCTGCTCTCTCGGCGCCGAGGGAGAGGAACCAGTTGAAGATGCCCTTCTCGATGATGTCCATCGCCTGGGGTACCCTGGCCCACGCCCTCGGGATGTTCCGTGCGCTTCTCCCAGTGCCCCAGGGATCCGCGTTGGCGACCTCGTCCGAGTCGAAAGTGACCGTCGCGTCGCTTGCGATCCTCCTCTCGCTCATGTCCCTGTCCTGAACCTCCGCGTCGGACGGCCAACCGTGCTCGCTGACGTAGCCGTGCATCTCCTGCGCTGTCAACGGCGTGGAAGGCTCACCGCCGCCCCAGATCTGCTCGTACTTCGGAATGTCAGTCTCGCCAGGTTGTTGTTGATCATCCCCTTCGTGATTTTGCCTCCAAAGCTGATAAGCTTCTCGGTAGGTATCTGCATCCCTGTTCGCCCACATCAACTTGAACTCCTTTGTGTATGCATCGACCTCTGCTGGGGTCAAGTTCGACCCCTTGGCCTTCTTGGCGTCCCTCATGTACGTGTTCTTCTCGAGCAAGTAGGGGTTCAAGCCTCGTCTATTCTTCGGCACTCTGTGGGGATCGCCTCCAGGATGTCCAGGATGTTGGTGCTCATCGATCGGCTTGCGAACAACGACTGCCTCCTCAAAATAATTGGCGCCTTCTGGTGGTCTTTCTTCTTCATAATCGGGCTCAGCTGCAACGCCTCTGAAAACGACAATCTGATCATCACCACGAGGAGCGTCGTCAATCTCCATTGCCACCGGTGTCCCAGGGGCCGCCTCCGCGATCGCGTCGGCGTCCTGCAACTGCGGACGCTCAATACACGCAAGTAAAGGTGAACATAACACGTCAACTTCTTGCAGAGACTCCTTGTCCTTAACTCTACGCGGCACTGCAAGCGGATGCTCGCCACCATGACGACGATGGACCATTGTAAGTTGATGAAGCAAGTGTTCCCTTTCAGCGTTCACTGCGTTCCTCCCAGGTGCTCGCACATGGTGGCGAGCGGTGTACTCGCTGTTGAGCCTCTCCACCTGGTCGGAGCCGTAGCAGTGCGCGCGGAAGTCGCTGTTCAAAACCATCTGGCATTTTAGCGAGAGCATGTCGTTCACCGTGGGGAAAAGCCTGAGAATGCCTCTGGTGTAGCAGTCTAGCATCTCACCATGCTCAGCAAGTGCACGTGTCCTCTCGGCCGTGGCTCGCTTCGCAGCTACCGACGCTCGAGGGCTAGATAAAGGATACATCGAATACGGCAGTGCAGAAAACCGAACCTCGTAGCGACGACTCATGACCGAGCTCAACCTCAAAATTTGACTGCGAGCCCATCGTGAGAATATCTGGCATTGCATGGGCACTTTCATGATGTCCAGCAGCATCCACGGACGCCTTGAGGCGTCGCCGTTGTCCCACACGTTGAGCAAGCCGAGCATGTCCTCGGTGAATTGGCCTATCAACGAGTCTGTGTCGAGGAGCATGTCGAGCTTGCTGCGGTCACCGTCGTCACGAATGGCATCTCCCAGCATAGGGTACAGGAGGCGAGCATCTGCAGCCTCGAGGATCGCCATGAAGACCACCAGCTCACGCATCATCTCCTCTGACTCATAGTATTCTTTCACCTTTTTCGCACGTACCCGAAACACGTGCTTCATGTAATCATCAAGTGCCTCGTCGCCAATGCTCACATCAGGTGGGTTTGACGTGTCCCAGTCGGAAGCGTACAACGTGCCAGTGAAGCAGTCCAGGCCGATCTTGTGATAGAGCCTGCGAAGCAATGTCCTTTTGATGTTGATAAGCGTATTGGTCCACCTGCTCTCCGCTGGACGGGGATCAGAAGTTCCATAAAGTGCGTGTACGGAGTGCTGAATCCAACAGCCCTTCGGGCGTGCGTGAAGGTACCCTCACTCTCAAAACTTTAAACCTCCTTCTTCCTTCGTCCCCTCACTCCTTCTTCCTTCCCCCCTCCTCCCCTCTGGACCTGGAGGGGGCGGGGGCCCAACAGACTCCAGACGCTCCAAGACGCTCCAAGAGTCCAAGACGCTTCCAAATCCAAGACGCCCCAACCAGGACTCCACAAGATCCCAGGGTCCCAAGATTCTCTTCAAGAGATCTCTTTTGACGCTTTGACTTTGACCGCCTCCCAAGATGTTCCAAGACCTCCCCCAAGAGCTTCAGCTTTTCGAAAAAAAGAAACACGCGCGAAGCTTTGGAGCAGCCATGAGGAGGAGGACGGTGAGGAGGAGGAGGAGGAGGAGGAGGAGGAGGAAGAGGAGACGGAGGGAAGGAGCACGGAAGAGGAGGGAGGAGGATTGAAGGGAGCGGAAGAAGCGAAAGAGGTTGGCACGGAGGAGAAAACGCCCGACGGTCATGGGCCCATGGGGGTTGATGGTGATCCGCGAAGCGTGAATGATTACTTTGTCAATAGACTCGTCCAGCGATCGGCAGCACGGCCTGGACGTCTCGAAATCCCAACAATGATGAATAAACTTATCATTGCTCAAACTGCCGTTCGCAACTTTGCAAAGCTCCCTGAGGTCCCTGAGCATCTGCGATTCGTTGCCCTGATGGCGGTGGTACTCGTCCTCCGCGTTGAAAAGCAGGTCCACAACTGCTGTCATAGAGTGGGCCCAAGGTGGTGGCGGCCCGATCTCCCTCGTCAGCTCGCGCTTCACGATGGCTTCGATTCCTAAAATGTTGCGCTGTAGTCGACCACGGTATTTGTTCATCGATACGATGGCGAACTGCCTCATGGTGTGCCGCCGAAGCGACTTCATCTTCATTTTGCCCCGGTGGTGCGCGTGAATCCCGCAGGTGTCGGGCCAGAACAAAATGTGATGCCCCGCCTCGCGCACAATCTGAGTGTCGATCACAGTCGCAAACTTCTTGATAATGTTGATGTTGCTGCTGGCCCTGTCAGGGCACGGCATGTAGGTGTAGCTCGTGTAGTTGTCGGCCGACTTCGCGAAGTTCTCGACGTCCAGCACATCGAACTTTGCCGGAAGGCCCTGTCTAACAGCTGGCAAGATGTCCTTAGCTTTGGTGCCGTCGATCTCCACCGCCTGCGCCAAGTAGTACTCTTGGTACTGCGCCGCCCTGTTGCGCGCCATGTCGAAGAGGGTCGTGTTGAAGGTCGCCCGCTGGACGACAACTGGCATCTTGACCTGCTGCTCGAACGTCCTGTATCTAGCCGACGGCTTCCACTTGTGCTTCACCTCCACCTCGTCCCACATGTGCCCGATAGCGACGTGAACTGCGCGGTTCGGAAAGCGCAGCTCTTCCTTGCTCTTGTTCAAGAAACTGTCGACTGCCACGGCCTGCCTCTGCTTCGTGACGCGCGCCGCCATGGCGATGAGGCGACGGTGCTGGACGCCAATCGCCACCTTCGCCTTGCTTGGCATGAACGCTGCCTTGGCCGCAAGCTTGAAATCCTCCGCCTATGGGGGAGACACGGTTGCGCCAGCACGCGAACTGCCCCTCCCCCTCCCCTATATCCCCAGTCACCCTTTGAAGCTCTGAAGTTCAGACTCTAAAGCTCTGAGGCCTTGGAGTCTGAAGTTCTGAAGCTACCTTCTTTAGTCCAAGGTGTCTGGGGAAAGGGGGGGGAGGAGAGGGGCAGTAAGTGCGCTGGATGCTCGAGTATCCCCACGTTGCCTTCAAGTTGTAGATCTTCTTCCTCCCCACCGCCGCGCCGCTCGTCGAGCCAAGAAGACTCGCAGCCGCTGGTATCAACGTGGAGACCTGCCTGACCGTCTGATCGCGCTCTAGCGCCACAGCCTTCTCAAGGCCAAGAGTTTTCGCGTGCCCTGAGCTCGTTCCCCATGGACCCACCTCTGAAGCGAGGATGGATCCACGGGGAAACGGGAAACGAGCTCAAGTTACGTGAAGACCCCTGGCCTTGATGTCCCGACGAAGCTTGTCGGTCATCTTCTTGCTCTTCGCCGCCCTGGCGTGAGCTGCCCACTCGCGGCGGGACCGCTTGATGCCAGGCTGCTCGGCGACGTCGTCCAGCAGCGCGGCCTCGATCGCGTCGATGACCTCCGCGTCGTCTGCGCGGATGTGGTCGAACTCCGCGTCGTCTGCGCGGATCTCGTCGAACGCCTCCAGGAACGCCGGCGCCGCCTCGACCTCCTCGGCCCTGTACTGCCTGAGCAGCGCGTCTAGGTCGAGGCGCCCTCCTCCCTCCATCTCGACGCAGAGCGTGCACTGCGGCCACACTCCCGTCGGTGGCAGCCGCAAGGCTGCACAGATATGGAACGCCGCAAGCGGCAGAAACACATATGGAAACGACATTGTCGTCACATCACATCACCGTAAAGGGAGATGGCGAAAATGAAAGCCGCAACGTTCGAGCCCGAAACACAAACACGGAGCGAATCTCAAGAAAAATGATCACAAAGGCGTTACACGCTGACACAATTCCAAGACGCCCAACGGGGATTCACTTAAATGTCTCCAAGACGCTCTGGCGACACACGGTTCTTGTGAATCTGAGTGTGAGCGAGTCTGAGTATGAGTTGAGTTGCTTGCTTATGGACTTCCAAGACGTCCGACCATATGTTAATGCATGAGTACGTGCTTGACATGAGAGTGCGTCTGCCGATATCTATTTTCCTGGGAAGGACCAACGGGTTCTCTGAGGAGCCTTTGCCTAGTAGTCCTACCTCAGACGTCGTGTGCATGCTTTTCCTCCGTCTGCTCCTGCCGTCATCCTCGTTTCAACTTTCGTTACGCCCAGCCCCTCCTTCGTTTCCCACGCCCCCCATCCTCCTGTCCACCCTTTCCTCAATCGTTTGCCTCTCTCGCGCGTTTTCATTCTCATCTGTCCTCGCTCCTTCCGCAACCAGTTAAACCAATGTGCAATACAATGTGTTACGAACGACCCTGTGTTCCGTGGTTGTCATATGTTGCTGAGCACTCGGTCTCACAGTCTGGCTTTAGCGCAACCGCGTGCGGCAGGCTGGTGAAGATACTTCTGTTGTCGGGGGTAACCACTATGAAGATACTTCGGTTGTCCGGGGTAACCACTATGAAGATACTTGGGCTGTCGGGGGTAACCACTATGAAGATACTTGGGCTGTCGGGGATAACCACTATGAAGATACTTCGGTTGTGAGAGGTGACCACTATGAAGATACTTCGACATGTGTCATTGGTTTTCTCTTGATTGTAGAAGTTGCTTCTTGGATTTCCAGTGTAGTCGTGAATTGTGAGGGTCCTGGGGCGCCGCTTGCGCTTGATTTTTGGGCCTCTGAATAGAAATCCTCGAACTCAGCCCCCCAGCTTCACCCAAGTCTTATCCCCCCTACGCGCTCGCCCCCCACATCATCAGCTCACCATTGCTCGTCCGTGCTGCAGCTGCGTCTTGCTCCGCATTTCGCCATCCAAGCGATGGCCCGATGGCCAAGCAAAACCAAGATGACTGAGTTTGGCAGGGCCAGCCGTGCGATGTCCTCGGGCATCACATCCCGCTTGGAACCCGTGAGAGAGGAGGGGCTGCCAGACGCGCCCAGCCCCGCGGCGCAGGCGAGGCGCAGGCAGCGCATCGCTCTCCAGATGACGGGCTGGGGGCCTTTACTTCAAAAAGCCGAGCTCCCAACAAAGGATGGCGACGCCGTTGATCCACGGGTGCAACGCCCGCTTGGATTCTTGCAAGTGGCAGCCCAAGAGGACCATCGCTTCCAGGGGTTTGTGGCTCGAGTTCTAGAAGAGACCGGCGGTTGCCTTTCCCTGACAGCTTCTTCAGACGAAACTAACGCCTGGAAGCGTTGTCGCAGATAAGAAAGAACGATAACTCCAAGCAATCTATCAGAACATGAAGAAATTATTTTTTCCTGCATTGTTCACGCTTTGTATCTTGAGGTCAACCGAGACAGATCGGCTAGAGAGCGGGTCGAGCGAAATCTTTAAGCACGTGCTACGCTTCTCTGTTGGGAGGCCGTCCCAACCAAATTTAGGAGACGGTGCGGCTTTCAAGTTTCGCGACGGAACGCAGCGGATCATTTTAATGAGCCGCGGTACCGCCATGCAGGATGAGCGCGCTTCTATACCCAGTTTGCATTGCAAGGGGGCCAACGGTCATAAAGTATGTTCCTTGTGCCAGAATGTGTGCAACGTTTGGTCGCCGGTCCTCGCCTCTGGCACCGCTGGCTTTCTGGTCAGCTCGCACGAGACAGACGTGCCGAGATTCGTTCTTCACGAGAACCAAGGCACCAAAGGCATCCAGAGTGTCGTAGAAATCGGGTTTCGGAACGAGATTTCGGAAGATGCCTTGAAGGCTTGCCGGAGACCCGTTTTCCGTACTTCTATTTAGTGCTCGAGTTTTCTGTGCGCGGTTTCCATATCGAACTGTAGTTTGATTCGGCTGGTGAACCAGCCCCTGCCGCTAGCCACGAGGAAAAGAGTCACTCTCATTTCCGACATTCGTTTATTTGAAGTTGATATCTTTGCCATCGACTATTTCAAGAACTCTGGCGAGTAACCCCGTCGAGAGCGACAAGAGATTGGTAGTGCGGAGCTTGGTTTCAGTGAACCTGACGATGAATGGCGTCGTCGAGCGCGGGCCAGAACGTAGATCTCCAGAGGATTCCTACGTGGGACGGCAAGGCGGAGACGCTGGACGAGTACCAGGCCGAGGTGGAGCTTCTCACTCTTTCGACGAAGGAAGAGGACAGGAAGCTACTCGGTCCGCGACTAGTTCAGGCGCTGCCGAAGAACACCGCGCATAAGAAGCTGGCCCTGCGACTACCGCGAGTGGGGGACGAGACGGATTCGATGGTCGGCGAGAAGGGCCCCGACGACTTGATCAGGGCGTTTCAGAGGAGCTTAGGGAAGCAGGCCTCGAGCGACGTGGTGGACAAGGTCTTCTCGTACTACTATGACCGGAAGACGGCAGGGCCACGCGTGAGGCTTGGTCAGACGATCGGACTCTACGCGGAGCAGGAGGAGGACGCCTACCAGGAGATGGAGAAGAGCGTGCGGGCGATCTGCCCAGACTTGGAGGCTTTAGATCTCATCCCAGACGAGCTGCGTGGCATCATCTTCTTGGTGAATGCGAACTTGGACCCAAGCGAGCGGGCCACGGTGGTGGCAGGACTACACGACTGGAAGATTAAATCAATCATCGAGAAGCTGAAGTACGTGTGGGCCGACAAGGACCTGCTAGCGAGGGACAACCTGGTATCGCGACGTCGTGAATTACGATTTCCAGGAGGTCGAGATCCTCGCCGGGAGCCTCCGGGAGCGGTCCAGGGTCAATTACCAGGAAGACGACGTGGAGGAGGAGCCGAGCTACTTCGAGGAGGAAGCCGACGAGGTAGACGAGGCGGACATCCACTACGAGGAGCAGGAGGTCGACAAGGAGGACCTCGAGGCGCTGGAGGCCTACGCCGAGGACGCGGAGGTGTACGCGCAGGACGCACACCGGACCTTCACAGAGGCGAAGAGGCTGCTGGCGGAGGCTGCGAAGAACAGGAGCGGCTACTTTCCAGTGTTCGGGATCGGCCAGATCCCCGAGAAGCAGTTCAAGGATCAGAAGACGATCAACACGGCGAAGGCGGCGCTCAGGGCTCCACGACCACCAGCACCACAAGGACGAGAACGACGAGCAGTACAGCAGCCACCAGCGCCATATCCAGCTCAGAGGAGACCCCCCAATGGTAAGGGCAAGGGCATCAAGTGCCTGATCTGCCAGGGACCTCATCGTGCCGTGGACTGTCCCAAGCGAGGCAACACGGGCAACGACGGCAACAACATGCAGATGGCCGCCCAGGGCTTCGTGGACGCCGAGGACGACGACGAGAACAAGTACGGCAATGAGGGCAACACTCCCGAGGAGGGTCAAACTGGCTGGGTACACGAGGAGATGGTTGGCTACGCGATCATCGACACGGGAGCCTCGAAGAGTATGATCGAGATCGACCTGGCCGCAGCCATCCAGGACACCATCATCGAGGAGACGGGCGAGGACCAGGTCACCATGGACTACGCGAAGAAGACGAAGTTCACGTACGCGGGCGGCGAGAAGGGCCAATCCATCGGCAAGTTCGGCTTCGAGCATCCGGTGGCGCTGGTCAAAGACGACAACAAGCTGTGGTTCGACCTGGTCGAGACGAAGTCCCCGATGCTTCTGGGCCTGGACTACCTGGAGAAGGCTGGAGCGGATTTGATCAAGGAGAGGTCCGCCCTGGTCTTCGCTGACGGCCACGAGGAACCAGTGGTGCAACTGTCCAGCTCGCACTACGCTCTCTCCGTGCTTTGACGGGGCCCAGCCGCTGGTTGCGACAACGCCTGCGGATTGGGAAAAAACAAAAGTTGTCAGGAGGTTCCAGATCTCAGAGAGCCCGAAAGATCCAAGAGCCCTTCTCAGAATTTCAGAAGTCAGGTAAACACGAAGGTCCCGCCCCCCGTTCAAGGACCACTGCAATTCTCCGAAAAG